TTATAAAGCCAAATATAGCGATCAAAAATAGAATATTAATCAAATCAAACCAATCTTATTGATCCCGCATAGGGCTGGACTCGGTTCGGGCCGGGCCTAGACCCGGTTGGGCCTCCGGTCCTACAAAGGGGGGCCCGGAACCGGCCTGTCCTTCGCCCGGTTCCAGTTCGGGCCGGGTCACCCGCCGGGCCCCGGGCCTGGCCACCCGCTGGGTCGGGTCTGGCCTAGGTTATATTCTTTTTTTATCTTTTTAATACAACTTAAATATGAAATACATTTTTCAAAAAATACTAATACAATAAATTCTAAGTTGTAAGTTGTAAGTTGTAAGTTTGTAACCAATTAATTAATTAATTAATTTGAGAAGTGCTACATATAAAAAAGAATGTATATTTATTTGAAATATGAAATACAACTTTACAAATTACAATAGAGAATTGAATGAAAAATCAAAACATGAAATACATTTTATAATAAACTGTAAAATACCAATCAATCGGAATCTCCGGCATAGGAGCCACCCTCGGTTGTCGATTCATCCATAAAGTCTTGGGAGGGGGTGATGCTAACTTCTTGACATCTACGTATGACCTTCAACCAATCGTTCTAGATACCGTTAGAACGTTGCCGGCCAAACTAAATTCTTGTTCCACGGCAACTGTTGAAACCGGCATTGATAGCACTTGCTTAGCCATCCGTGCCAAAATCAGGAACATTCTTTCTTTTGACTTCCACCACTTTAGAACATCAAACTCCTCATTTTCGTCAATTCTACCTCATAATTTATATACAAAGAAATCTCATTAAGTGCGCTTTGTTCAGTAGTGTGAGTTGTTTTAGGTTTTTTCATAAGATTGCCAAAAGCAGATTTAAAAAGTGATTTTCCTTTAGATGAAGATGTGTGTGTCGGGGGAGGGGGCGCGTTACCATATTGTGCACGAAACTCATTAAATAAGGCATAAAATAAATTACTAACCTCATTGTATTCAACTTGCGGATCTATGGCGTTATCATCATACATTGGAAATGGACCAAAAAACGCATTATAATAGAACTTCAAACATTCTCCAAATTACCAAGTCTATAACGAGGATCGAGAATAAATGCAATACTATAAATATGCGGAATATGTGCATAATATTTTAAAAACTTTTCCTTTATAAAGCCACAAAAACAACTCACGTAAGCGGCATTCTCAAATTCATTAAAAGCACCGGCAAGATTAACAACTTCACAAATAAATTCGTTTGAGGTAGGTTTATAAACATGACTAAAACTATCAGTTGCATTATTAAAATATATCAAAACATTACAAATTTTTTCCCAAGTGTCGATGTGAGCGGGGTTTAAAATATAGTTATCATATTGTCTTAAAAAAGCAGGAAAAGGTTCTTTATATCTAAGAAGAACTTTAATTAATTTATAAGTATTATTCCACCGAATAGACAAATCTTTAGGGAAAACAACATATTTCACACCTCTTTCAATCAAATAATTTTGTCATTTTAATTTAAGTTGACCATTGCCCCAAATACGTCTAATCCCCCCCCCCCTTGACTACCTCCATAGCATCTCCTAACGCTTTTATACCGTGTTGCACACATAAATTTATAATATGGCATGCACATCATTGATAAAAAAATCTACCCATCAAAGTATTAGAACCACATAATTCACGCAATCTAGGTATAGCAGCAGTATTATTAGTAGCATTATCAAAACCTATAGCAAACACCTTATCAATCAAATTATACTCAGTTAAAATACGTTCAATCAAAATATAAATATGTTCAGCGGTGTGACGATCATTAAATTCACGAAAAGCAAGAACACATTTATGCAAATTCCAATCACTATCAATAAAATGTGCAGTCAGGCCCAAATAATGTAAATTATTATAAGTATCCTCCCAAATGTCAGAACAAATAGTAACACGGCCGTCAAAGTTTGCAAAAAAAATTGTAACCTATCCTTTTCCGCACGATAAAGCCTTATAATTTCTTTCTTAACCGTTTTGCGACTATAACTTCTAAATTGAGGATTTAAACAAGTTTGTGCATAATCTTTAAAAGCAAGACTTTCAGAAAACAAATCAGGCAAATTTTCTTCAACAAGTAAGTTAGCCATACCAGTCAAATTTTGTGCATCAGTGTATGAGAAATTGCCAAAAGGTTGGTCAATTGCAAACCTCGATATTTGAGTTTGTTTCCCCTTCCCTTTGTCTATTTTCGCATACTCCACAGAGTGCGCGGACTTAAGATGCCTTTTGAGGCTCCCATATCCGCCGGAAGTTCCCAAGCTATACTCCTTGCAATGATCGCAACTTGCGTACCATTTATCGGTTTTTAGGTCTTTCCTCTTTGTAAAATTATTTTCTATAATAGGAGATTTAGATTTCTTACCAACTTGGGATGGACCACCCTCGTCCTCCAACTCTTGCTCATCATCCGGGGTGCCGTGAGTCCCGTCGCCCCCCTCGTCCTCCTCCGCATCGTCATCCTCGAGCTCCTCTTCATCGATGGACTCCGGGATGTTTTGTTGTTGGAAAGCGCGACCATCATTTTGCGCCAATAGTTGTTGTAGTTGCTCATCGGACATTGCATCCCCATCTCGCCTTTGGTATCCGTCATCAAAATCTTTTCGACTTTGAGAAGAAGACTCGGCCCGCCCTTTCTTGGAGCTAAAACTGAACGAACGTAGAAGAGAGAGAGATATCAATGAGGCAACTAACTTCTGTTATTCATCAACCAAAGCATTATATCCGTCTTTACATCATAACAAACTCATATATGGACCTAAGTCCATTTATTACATGGGCTGTAAAGTAATAAAGCCCAACAATACTAATGATGCAGAATTAACTACTACACAACATGCTCCCTTAATTCTGCATAACAACAAGATCAAACAACAAATATACTATGCTCCCTCTAATAATGAAATTGAGTATATATTCAACAACTTTCTCAGTTCGATAAACCTCTGTGGACCAAGTGATTTTGTAAGAATATCTGCAAGTTGAACTTCAGTTCTACAATAGCACACCTTGATCTTTCCATTGCTAACATTCTCCCTCAAGAAATGATACTTAGTATCTATGTGCTTACTTTTCCCTTGTGCCACAGGATTTTTGGCTAAATTGATTGCAGATTTGTTGTCTATCATTCGATCAACTGGTGTTAAGTCCCTTAGCTTCACTTCATGTAAGAGTGATCTCAGCCACAGACCTTGACATGAAGCATGACAAGCTGAAATATATTCTGCCTCACAGGTAGAAAGTGATACAGAATCACTTTTCTTAGAACACCATGAAACTGGAGCTTGAGCAACTGTGAAGATATACCCATATGTGCTTTTCCTCTCATCAATGTCTCTATTCCAATCTGAGTCAGAATATCCTAACAGAACATCACCTTTCAGCTGATTAACACCTGGTAATAGAACACCATAGTCTGTAGTGCCTCTGACATATCTCAACACCCTTTTAACTGCATTAAAATGAGATATTTTTGGTCTCTCCATGAATCTACTCAGAAGGCCTACACTATAGCTTAAATCAGGCCTGCTGTGACACAAAAATCTCAAACTACCAATTATCTGCTTATAGAGTGTTGAATCAACCTCCTTTTCATCTGCACTCTTTCCAAGTTTCAAACTTGATTCAGCTGGTGTAGTGGCTGGGTTGCAATTTTCCATTCTAAACCTTCTAAGAATATCCAATGCATACCTTCTCTGATGAAACATAATGCCCTTTTCTGTATAAGAAAATTCTATACCAAGAAAGTATGATAACTTTCCCAGGTCACTCATTTCAAATTCTGATTTCATTTCTTCCTTGAATGCCTCCACCAGTACTTCATTATCACCAGTCACTAATAGATCATCCACATATAGGCATACAATGAGTGAACCATCTGTCAAGTGTTTAGAGTAAACTCCATGTTCAACTTTACATTTCAGAAAACCTTGCTCGTCAAAGAAACTGTCTATCCTTCTATTCCAAGCCCTAGGGGCTTGCTTGAGTCCATATAGAGCTTTATTTAGTCTAAACACTTTACCTTCTTCACCTTTTATTACAAAACCAGGTGGTTGTGTAACATAAACCTCCTCTTCCAATGGCCCATTCAAGAATGCAGACTTTACATCCATTTGTTGCAAACTCCAGCCTTTCAGATTTGCATATGCCACTATTGTCCTGATTGTTTCAATCCTTGCTACAGGAGCATACACTTCTTTATAATCAACCCCTTCTTTCTGCAAAAAACCTTTTGCAACTAACCTTGCTTTGTGTTTAGCTACTGTCCCATCTGGTTTCAGCTTTGTCTTAAATACCCATTTGACTGTAATGGGTTTTTTATGATCAGGAATTGTGCAGAGTACCCAGGTTTTGTTTTTCTCTATTGCCTCCAGTTCTTCATCTTATAATCTTATTATTGTGGTGAAGATAATATCACTCTTCTCTTTCGTTACTCCTCTGTAAACGTCGCATGAATCACGCCATTGAGGAAATATCTACATAGATTTTCCTACGGATATTCAGCAACGGTTAGTACCGTCCGTAATTAACCACGGAAATGCCGACGGAATATTGACGAAGCCGTCGCGAAGCCGTCCCTAAATCGTTGGTAATTTGCGACAGCCATACCGACGGTTAGTTTTGTCGCTGAATCTTGTATAGTTTAGCAACCGTATCAGATTGTTTCCGTCGTTGTTTTATTAAATTTACTCTTCTGCCCCTCTTCTCACCTACTTCCATTCGGAAAGTCATCTTTATCTACACTTAGATACCAACGAAGCCTCTCAAGTGTATCCCAACCTCAATTCCATGCCGCGGTTAAAGCTTGAAATCGCTATGTGCCGGTGAAGCTTCCCAATCTCAAATCGCTGGCTGCCATCGTAGCCTCCTAACCTAAACCATAGTCGTCTGTTGAAGCCATTCTAACTTCATATTGTTACCCACCGTCAAAGCTTCCCAACCTAGCTCAAACCGCTTTCAATTCCGCCATCGAAGCCTCCCAACGAACATAGCTGAGTCGCCGGATCCTTGGTTGTTCTTGTTCGTCGAAGCTTCCCAACTTCAAACCATAGCTGTCTGTTGAAGCCATTTACGGTTAGAATTTGTGAGTATGCGGTCGGTTAGGTTATGATTTTTTGAGCTATTTGTTCATATCTGAAAATAGTATGAGAATTTATTAGTTTTTGACATTGAAATGTTCAGAGGGTAATTTTTGTTGTATGTTTTCTATTTGGAATAATGTACGTATGGATTATGGAATGTATATAGGTGGTTGTTTTTATGCAGAAACTCCATTTTGGAGGAAATCTCTGTATTGTGCATCTAAATTGGGTTCTCAGATCTTGTTGCAATTCTTTTTTACGCTATGGTATTCTTCTACAGAAAAACCATCGATACGATATGGGATATACAACCCGTATAGGTAGCTAATACGGAGTATTTTTTTTTAAATCGTAATGTTTCCGACGGATATAACCGTGGTTACAATATTCGTCTATTGAAAAGAAAGTGGCGGTCAATTCTGTCGCTAATAGGACCGGTTTATTCCGTCGGAATTCCGCCAGTGTTTTGAAAATCCGTAGCAAACATCCGCCGGCAATATTTCCAACCACCGTATAGCGACGGAAATTTTCCGTAGCAATCCCGTCACTGATTTTTGTTGGCGACGGAAATATATGACTTTCCCGTTGCTATTTCTGTCGCTAATTCGATGTTTTTTTTGTAGTGATATTACTCATATATTTAGGGAGTGTTTGCAACTGCTTTTGCTTAAAAAAAGCACTTTTGGAGATGCAAGGAAAAAGTGATTAGTATTAAAAGTTGATAGTGTTTGAGAAAAAAGTGATTTTGAAAAGTAAAAGTTGGTAGTGTTTGGTAAAATAAGTGCTTTTTGTGTAATAGAAAAGGGAAAAGCACTTTTCACATGCAAGCCGAGAAAAAGTAAAAATTGGTAGTGTTTGGTAAATAAGTCCTTTTTAAAGCCAAAAGCTGAGAAGTGCTTTTTTTAAGCAGTTGCAAACACTCCCTTAGGGTGATAGGCTAATGCTCCACTTATCTAGTCGAATAAGATCATTTCTAGTATAAGTGTTTAAATTTGAATGTGTAGAACTACTGTTATATAGAAATGTTAGGATAAAAGGTGTATTATTGTGTAACATCACATTCAAAACATTTTTATTTAATATAAATTTAAAAATATGGATTGCTTCACTTTTTTTGGGAAACAAAATAACTTAGTTATTATTGACAAGGGTAACAAAGAAACATACCAATCAAAAGCTGAAGTAATATAATCATAACGTAAATGTTATGATAGAGTGAGACAAAGAACAAAAACCCATATAAAGACGCTCTTGTTCGTTAATCTTACAATCATGTAGACTCGTAGCGCAATATGAAGACTCAGGCTACTTGATATGAGTTTGGTTTGACCAGACACCGAAAAGTAACTTTTAAACTTGTCGGTTTTTGGTCCACATGTATGGAGTCACTCAAACAATTTTGGATTGCTTCACTTCAACAACTCTATCTTGATTACCAATATTGAAACGAAATGTCCTCACTGTTAATATTGTATTCTAAGTATAGTAATTTTATAGAGGAAGCGGTACAACTCAGCTGGCCGCTGACTCTCTCTCTCTGATGAAAAAAATTAATTTTATACAGTAATTCATTTATTTTCACCTCTTAGGATCCTAATTACACAAGTTACTTCGTGATGTAAGTCACGTGATTAACTACTTACCATGAAATGAAAATTTTCATTCCTCAACGGGTTAATCTTACTTTTGACATACAAATGACGTCGAAGTGCTCTCCAAAGTCGAGCACTCACCAAATGGGAAGGGTGTCACTAATGATGAAAAAAATCATTAATCCCAAAACCCTAGTAAAACTCCATTTCCCATATCACTCCATGGGAGTGTTTCTGTGTTTGCAAGAAGTTATGTTTATCAAAAGTGATTTATTTAAGAGATTATTGAAGAAATGATTTAAAGTAGAAGTAGGTAGTATTTGAGAATAAGAGTAACTTTAAATTAAAAGTAAAAGTTAGAGTGTTAAAAATGATTTTTGATGTAATATTTGGTTAAATGACAAAAATGTCTTTCCTATCTCCATTTGTCCGCAGGCCGCAGGGAATCAGGGGAGGGGAGGGTAGTTTTGGTTTAGGAAAAATATTTGATCTAATAACAATACCCAAAGTTGGGAGTATTTACATAAATACCAATAAGTTCATAAAATATTTGAAGTTTTGGTTTACAAACATGGCTTTTCATTACAAAAAAAGTCCAAAGCACTTTAGTTTAGAGCTTGCAAACACTCCCTATGTTCCTAGCTAATATTTTTCAGATCTTGTTAATATTCCATTTCATCTATACTTTTCACCGCACTTTGATTTTAAAATGCAAAAAGAATATTAAACTTGCATTTTAAGTTGAAATGTACTTTTTTCAACTGCCAATCCAATCATATTTTGAACTTTTACTGTAAAAGGTTTCTTAACATGAATACTACGTATAAGTTTTTGTCTATATTTACTCCGTGTAATATTAAGTGCACAATATAAATACTTCGAACATTTTGGGGGATACACTTAGCATTGTAACTTACGTTTGTTAAATAAATAATTTAAGTTCAAGTAGCATAAAAGATAAATTAAAATGCACGAAGACTTACAATTTAAGTTCTATATTGTAACATTTAGTTGTGTCCGTCAATTAACATTTAGGATGTTTTTTTGAACAAAAAGAAAACATTTACGATGTTTTCTTTCAAACAATTTTCAGTCCCAAATCATACAAGATCAGATCAAATCAGACCAAACCAGACCAGTTCAGTTTAGACCAGACTTCCATAGCTATAAAATACACAGAGACCAGACATCTTCCATACCAGACCAAATGAGTTCAGACCAGACCAACAAATTTCGGTCTAAAAGAAAACATCCTAGTCGACAATTACCATTGAACTTTCTATCAAGTGTTCTTCTTGAAGGAAAAGTTCTAAAATTTCGAAAATGTATTGAGTAATGTTATAGGAACCATAACGGCAGAATAATTGAAAGTTACTGGAATCGGATAATAATAATGATTCAATTCCAATCAATTTGCAGAATTCCTGATTTCAAAATATTTTCCTTAGAAGCCACTAACGTATGTCCCATTTGCCTGTGTCGGGTAGACATAAGTCTTTGTTTTCTAGCTTTTGTATTGTTCAAAAAGTTTCTAAAAGGTTCTAATTATTTGTTTGACATGACAATATTTAAGAGTTTTTATTTGATATGCTACAGACAGTAGCTTCTGAAAAAAGCTCTTGACTTATAGTATTAATTAGTTCTAACAGCTTGTATACCAAACCGAACTAAATCAAACAGCCAATTTTTTACCAAACAGCTAAGACCTTTTCTTTTCAAGATCTTTTCAGTCACTAAAAGCTAACAATTATTAAAAAACTCATAAAAGTATCTTTTCATGTTAGCCGACCCCAATATCGTTTGGGACTAAGGTTTGGATGTTGTTGTTGTATAAAAATATCTTTTCAACTATTTGTGCCAAACATACTCTTTGTCGAAGAGTAACGACAACCACGCCCATTGCTAAATTTGACGGCGGCCTTTAGGAAGGCAGCGTATTATGTGTGCAAAATCACCAGGTCAAATCATTTAAAAGACCTGATCGAAAGTTAATACTAACCGTTCACATTTAAAAGACCTGATCGAAAGGTAATCACGTTTGTGCCTAAATGTTAGAGGTACCCCAACTTGTACCCCATTTTGTACCTCCACCCCTATTTTGCGGTCACAATTGGAGCAATACTTTTAAGTGGGACAACCCTTTTAAGTGTGGACTCATTTGGACCACACAATGTGTGGTGTAAGAATGGGGTACCCCAAAATGGGTACCTCTAGCACGGTTGTTTAAATAATAGTGTCACGATTGGATAAGTTTGAATATATGTGGCATTTGCTTTGGGAGTTAATAGTGATTTTTCGGACCATATACAATATAATATACTCTCAACAATATATAATCCGTATTGAACATTAGTAAGCAGAAGAATTTGGTTAACTGAAAAAAGTGTAACAAAATGTATTTTTCTGACATAGCCAAATTTCATAGCTAGGGGAATTTATGACAAACCGACCACCTCAAATTTCAATTAACTTATTACGGTAAGAAACTGTAAAAGAAATTCAAAACAAAATCTTTGTGCCGCTCCACCCTAATATACAGTAAGAGGCATACGGCCACTCATTGTTTTCAACGATTATTTTTTTAATAAACTAGTGAAATAATGACGTTTTGGATTTGAATAGGTACAACCATTTCTGATTTCTGTATAGAATAAAAGCATAGAATCGAAGCATGTTGGAGTGTGGAAATTGATTGAAGTTACATAAGTATTGCTTCTAATTGCCTCCCAAAAATACTTTTTGAGAAGCTAGGGAATAGCAAGATTGATGGCTATTTAATTTCTTGTGGAGTGGATTCATGATAAATCCTTGTGAGTTGTGAACCATTGACGTGCACTTTGTCGTGATGTGCACTCAAAATAATAATCAATACAACAATTATACGTAGTATAATGAAGTAAGGTTCGTATCCACAGGGAAAGGAACACTTCTCTTTTTATAAAAATAAATAAGTAATAACAGGGGGGGGTTTTATATTTGGTTGATGAACTTAAATTATATTTAAGCACGAAGATGAACGAGTTATGTGGTTTAATTAATGAGAAGGAGGCTTGGCTTTGCTCTTATCCACTTAATGAAATGTTCGTCGATCCCGGTTATATCTTTAACTATCTTCCTCTCGAATACTCAATCGAGGAGTATATCCAGTTCATCGAGGGTAGTTATTAATAACGAGATGCGTTCATTAATAAATCTTACTATCGAGTCAATATAGAACAAGCGCCGTATATTAACTTGATAGTAGCAATAAACTTAAGATGAAAACGATTGAGATTGATAACCTCAACACAAGCGGTTTGTTGGTTAATCAATGTAATTAATTCCCCTTAGATTATTGACCATGAGATGCATGCATTAATAATCCAAGTTTACTACCGTGAAAGGACCGAATTAATAACAAGCGTATTAATCGACCGATTCTAGTATTAATTAATATATGGAACAAAACTAGTTGATCCTTTAAGTAATGTTCAAAATATTAATATGAAATATGAATAGGAATTAATTAATACTCAAGAAAGAATATTAAAGAAGATGAATCCTACTATAGTTAATATCAAGATGTTAACTAATTGTCATCTTAGTAACACTCCCCGATATTAACGTAGAGGAAGAAATAACTATTACTATAACTAATGTCAAGATGTTAACTAATTGTCATCTTAGTAACACTCCCCAACATTGATATAGAAATAGTATTTAAAGAAAGAATTAATATTCAAGAAAGAAGATTAAAGATAATAACTCACAACTTACAAATTCATTAAGCTTCAAAGGAGCAAAACCAAGATGGAAGAGTTTAGCTCCTCATTTGGAGACTAAACATGATAGAAAATATAAAGAAAACACTAATCTAAACTGAGCTTAAGAGTATGGAAGAAAGGATGATTATTTGTGAAGGAAAATGGGGCTATTTATAGGTGTTTTTCAACACCTTTGGCCGGGTACCCGACCGGGTAAAGTGCCCACCCGACCGGGTGCATGTCAAAATCAAATATCCTCCACGTTCTGGTGATCTTCGGCACGTTCTGGTGTTCCGGGTCAAGTCGGACCCGACCGGGTGAAATACCTCACCCGACCGGGTGATGTAATTTCCTGAGCAGTTTCACATTTCAATGTCTCACCCGACCGGGTGCAATACCTCACCCGACCGGGTGATTTGTCCTGGGCAGCCAAGAATTATTTTTCTTCACATTCAAAGTCTTCCTTTCCAACACCATGAATCCTAACTCTACTTTACAACTTACAAATGAGAACTAAAATACAATTACAACTAAAATCACACAAATGTTTACAAACTAAATAAAACGATAAACAATACACACAAATCAAACATAAAAACATACACTTATGCACTACTAATTAGTGCATATCAAATACCCCCACACTTGAACCTTTACTCGTCTCGAGTAAACCAAATCCTAGCCCAAGAAGTCCTTAAAATGACAAGAGTATCAACACCAACATCCACGTGTGTTCTTAGAACAACACAAAAAAATATCCCCAAAAATATAAGAGTAAAGAGGGGTCTTTAACTCCATATTTCTTATCAACCTCAGTTTTTTTTTTTGTTTCATTACCCTTAGGATCCTGCAGAAATAAAAGAAAGTACTTTCTCTCATTCTCTCATTTTGCCTAGGTGCCCTTTCGGGTTTTCATCCCAGCTTCCCACATTTTTTTGTTTTAATCCTCACAACTCACTCTTATTTTTGCTTTATTTTTGCTTAAGTTGCCTTTTCAGGTTTTCAACTTAACAAGCTTTATTTTCTTTTTCTTTTTTCTTCTTCTTCTTCTTTTTTTTTTTTTTGAAAATAACTCAAGAATACAGAGTGTGAATGTGAGTTTTCCATGAAATTCTCCCCCCAAGCTAATCAAAGCACTGTCCCTAGTGCTTGTGTCCGAGATGTCCAAGAGAATGAATCTCTTTGCCTTTTTTGGTGTCATTTCTTTCTTTTTGGTTGAGGAAATATCGGCTTTTGTTGTTTGTGGAGTAAGGGGATTTGGATTTTTAGGAGTTTTTTTTTTTTTTTTGGGTGTAGTAGTGAAGAGGGTGATGAAGAGATGAAGAAGGTGGGTTTATTTGATGGATTTGGTGTAGAAATGGAGAAGATTCAAATGTATGGAGTTTGAAAATGGTGTTTTGGCGGAGTTTGGTTCGTGTTTGCGGAAGAAGAAGTGAGAAAGAAGAGGATGCCATCTCGGTTTTTGAAAAAATTCCCAACGCCCGGCCGGGTGGGGTAATGTACCCGGTCGGGCCTAACTTCCGCTTATCCAGAATGTTTTTGTCAAAAATGCCTGGCCGGGTGTATTAAAGGTACCCGGTCGGGTAATTTACTCCAGGGGCCGGGTTTTGCCAAAAAATTATTTGCCCGGGCGATTTTTTTTTTTTTTTTTTGTTCCAGGTGCCTTTTTACGAACACGCCCGGCCGGGTGAAATCAGATACCCGCCCGGGTCCACTCCCCAGATATTTTTTTTTTTTTTTTGAAAGGTTTCTCACACACACAAAAAAAATTGAAAATAATCAAAATACAAACTTGGGTTGCCTCCCAAGAAGCGCCTTATTTAACGTCGTGGCACGACGTTTTTTTTTTTTTTTTATTTTTTTTATTTTTTTATGTGGGATCGTGGACATCCCTTGTTTCATTCTTTTTCTTCGGCCTTTTCCAGTAAGGCCGAAGTTTCTTCTTTGTTATCGCCTCGACCACAGGTGGTTCCAACTCGCTTTGAGGCGACTCTTCTTTCAAAATAGATTTTTTTTGTTCAATTCTTTTTTCAAAAATTGATGTTTTCTTAGTATCTTTTTCAATAAAAATATTTCGTGCTTGTGGTTCAAAAACATTTAGAGAACAAAGAGATTGGTCTTTAAATTGTTTTTTCGTAGAATCAAAGATGTTGAATTCTACCTTTTGGTCATCAAATTCCAATGTTAATGAACCATTAGACACGTCTATTTTTGTTTGGGCAGTTTTTAAGAAAGGTCTCCCCAAAAGGATGGGTGTAGTTTGGTTATCGGCTTCCATTTCAAGAATATAGAAATCAACAGGGAAGACCAAATTTTTAACTTGTACTAGCACGTCCTCTACTACACCCTTTGGGTAAGTGCAAGACCTATCTGCCAATTGGATTACTACCCCGGTTTCATGCATAGGGCCAAGTTTTAGGGATTTGTATAATGAATATGGAATAACATTGACTGAAGCCCCTAAATCCAACAAGGCCCTAGGAAATAAAGTGTCCCCTATTTTGCAGGGAATAGTGAACATGCCCGGGTCGCTACATTTTTCGGGGAGTTTCTTTTGAAAAAGGGCCGAAACATGTTCACTCACCACAACCTCTTGTTTTCCCTTCACTTTATTTTTTGTTTTTGTTTTGCATAATTCTTTTAAAAATTTAGCAAAACGGGGAATACTTTTAATTGAGTTAAGGAGTGGAATGTTTACCTCACACTTGGAGAAAGTTTCATAGATGTCAGCATCTTTGTCAAGCTTCTTTGTCTCCCTCAATGCCTCGGGAAATGGGGCCACTGGTTCATATGATGAATGTGGAGGTAATTTTGCCTTTGTGTTTTCCTCCTCCAAGTGAGCTTCCTCTTCACGATCAACTTGCTCAACCTTTTGTTCTTCCTTCTCTAACTCTTTCAATATCGTCTCACTTCTCAACATGATTGCATTTACATGTTGTCTCGGGTTTTGCTCCGTTTGAGACGGGAGTTTACCCGAGTCCTTTGCTTCAAGTCGGCTTACGGCATTTGAAATTTGGCTAACTTGAGTTTCCAAATTTTTAATGCTTGACTTTGTCTCATGTTGGAATTGTATCATGGTTTGTTGAAATTGTCCCATGCTTTGTTGCATGGTAACCATGTTTGAAGTCAAAGCTCTTATCATGTCATCAGTTGACATATTGGGTTGAGAATTTGAGCCTTGATTGTTGAAAGGTGGTTGAGAAGGTGAGTTTGATTGTTGGGGGTTTCCGTACCTCAAGTTTGAATGATCCCTCATTCCGTGGTTGTAAGAATTTGAGAATGGGTCGTACCTCCTTTGTTGTTGTCCTTGGAAACCCAATGCGTTGACTTGCTCAAAATTCTCCTCTTGTATTGATGGACATGAATCGGTCGGATGCCCTTGTGTTGAACATATGCCGCAAACCTTGACTTCTTGGGTTTTGGGTTTTAAGAGAAAATCTTTAACCAAAGAAGTCAAGCCGGCCACTTGACTTTCCAACGAGGTGTTGGATTCCGCCGCGGCAACCCTTCGGGTTGAGGATCTCCCATTGTAGTATCTAGAATTCTCGGTCAACTCCGAGATGAGATTTCTTGCTTGAGAAGGGGTTTTGTTAACAATTCCCCCTCCACTCGCCGCATTAACCATGCGCCTATCTTGATCCGCAAGACCATCATAAAAGTAAAGGATGAGGTCTTGCTCAGTGTACCCATGATATGGGCAACTAGCACACAACTTTTTGAATCGCTCCCAATATTCATATAAGGACTCATCATCTTTTTGATCAATGTTGCTTATTTGTTTTTTCAAAGATGATGAGACAGAAGCGGGATAATACCTTTCTAGGAAGCATTTCTTCATTGCTGCCCATGTATCTATACTCCCCGAAGGAAGATAGAATAGCCAATCCTTTGCGGTGTCTTTAAGGGAGAATGGAAAAGCCCTCAATTTGATTTGTTCCTCGGTGACTCCATTTGGGCACATGCTCGTGCAAACAATATGGAATTCCGAGAGATGTTTGTTCGGGTCCTCTCCTCTTAGCCCGTGGAAGGAAGGAAGTAGATGGATAAGCCCCGATTTGAGCTCAAAAGTATTACCTTCATTGAGTGTAGGGAAGGTAATACACAATGGTTGTTGGTTGAGATTTGGAGCGGTGAGCTCCCTCAATGTTCTCGTCTCTTGAGCCATAGTGATTGGCTCTTCGTTCTCGCTAGAAGAAGAACTAGCGCTTGATGATTCCTCCGAAGAAGTATTCGGAAATAAATTCCTAAACCTCTCGAAGGCTTGTTCCGTTTCGGGATTTGTTTGGTAGGTGATTTGGTTTATAGATCGGTGTTTAACCATATACTCAAACAAAGCTCAGAAATAGAAAATAAGAATTCTTTATATTTTTATTTAATTATTTTTTTTTTGTTGATTTTTCTTGGAATAAAATAAAAAGAAAAATAATTGCCTTTCCCCGGCAACGGCGCCAAATTTGACGTGCACTTTGTCGTGATGTGCACTCAAAATAATAATCAATACAACAATTATACGTAGTATAATGAAGTAAGGTTCGTATCCACAGGGAAAGGAACACTTCTCTTTTTATAAAAATAAATAAGTAATAACAGGGGGGGGTTTTATATTTGGTTGATGAACTTAAATTATATTTAAGCACGAAGATGAACGAGTTATGTGGTTTAATTAATGAGAAGGAGGCTTGGCTTTGCTCTTATCCACTTAATGAAATGTTCGTCGATCCCGGTTATATCTTTAACTATCTTCCTCTCGAATACTCAATCGAGGAGTATATCCAGTTCATCGAGGGTAGTTATTAATAACGAGATGCGTTCATTAATAAATCTTACTATCGAGTCAATATAGAACAAGCGCCGTATATTAACTTGATAGTAGCAATAAACTTAAGATGAAAACGATTGAGATTGATAACCTCAACACAAGCGGTTTGTTGGTTAATCAATGTAATTAATTCCCCTTAGATTATTGACCATGAGATGCATGCATTAATAATCCAAGTTTACTACCGTGAAAGGACCGAATTAATAACAAGCGTATTAATCGACCGATTCTAGTATTAATTAATATATGGAACAAAACTAGTTGATCCTTTAAGTAATGTTCAAAATATTAATATGAAATATGAATAGGAATTAATTAATACTCAAGAAAGAATATTAAAGAAGATGAATCCTACTATAGTTAATATCAAGATGTTAACTAATTGTCATCTTAGTAACACTCCCCGATATTAACGTAGAGGAAGAAATAACTATTACTATAACTAATGTCAAGATGTTAACTAATTGTCATCTTAGTAACACTCCCCAACATTGATATAGAAATAGTATTTAAAGAAAGAATTAATATTCAAGAAAGAAGATTAAAGATAATAACTCACAACTTACAAATTCATTAAGCTTCAAAGGAGCAAAACCAAGATGGAAGAGTTTAGCTCCTCATTTGGAGACTAAACATGATAGAAAATATAAAGAAAACACTAATCTAAACTGAGCTTAAGAGTATGGAAGAAAGGATGATTATTTGTGAAGGAAAATGGGGCTATTTATAGGTGTTTTTCAACACCTTTGGCCGGGTACCCGACCGGGTAAAGTGCCCACCCGACCGGGTGCATGTCAAAATCAAATATCCTCCACGTTCTGGTGATCTTCGGCACGTTCTGGTGTTCCGGGTCAAGTCGGACCCGACCGGGTGAAATACCTCACCCGACCGGGTGATGTAATTTCCTGAGCAGTTTCACATTTCAATGTCTCACCCGACCGGGTGCAATACCTCACCCGACCGGGTGATTTGTCCTGGGCAGCCAAGAATTATTTTTCTTCACATTCAAAGTCTTCCTTTCCAACACCATGAATCCTAACTCTACTTTACAACTTACAAATGAGAACTAAAATACAATTACAACTAAAATCACACAAATGTTTACAAACTAAATAAAACGATAAACAATACACACAAATCAAACATAAAAACATACACTTATGCACTACTAATTAGTGCATATCAACCATATCTATCTCTATGTGAAGAGAAATATTTTCGTAGAATCCTAGTGAAGAAAACACAAAGAGAGAAATGTATAACTACAGAGAACTGAGAAGTAGTGAAGTACATATGAGATATGTTGTCAAAATCATGTATGGAGAATTGTAAAATAGCTTCAGCTCCAAAGAAACTTCACAAACCAAAACGTGACAATTAATATTGACGGGGTTGAATCCTGACGCTGGGGTTGGACCCTTTTCTAGTACAGCCCACAATTAATTTCAGATCTTCTTCTACTATACGTCGGCTCAATGTTCATGTCGGGCCTTTTTCTACTTCGGCCCAATGTTCATGTCAGAGCCTTTCTTTTTCGGCCCAACTCCCAATTTCAGTTTGTGTCCCTTTCTGCTCTCTCGGTCTCATGTACACTCTTACGCCTCTACTACAAGGTTGCCTCAATAAATTAGGAGACCTAGTGCAAATCACGAAAAATAGGTTTTATATTAAATCAACACAATACCAAAAAGAAAACTACGAACAAATGTGAGATTGAGAAATGATCACTTTTTCGAACTTGAACAAATAAAACTACCACAAAATCTAAAATCGGAAATGAACAAATGAAAATAGAATAAGAAAAAGTGAATTTTTACCTTTGGTTGGATAACCTGAATAGTTGGATCATTCAGGGAAATAAAGTAATGAACCGTTTTCAAAAATAACTACCCTATATACACACTGCACAGATTTTACAAAAAAAATGGGCTTTATATTTTTGGAAGCCCTTTTTTTCCGTAATTATCATGCAATTAAAACCAATATTTTTAGAATTCGCATAGTAGGAATCGAGCAACTGGCTTATTTACTACGGAGGAAAACTAAAGCTTGTAAACGGCCATCATTTGCTAATTGATATTTTGCTTAATGTCATTTTAAGTTCTACATACATAAAACCAATACATGCAACCCCTTTTATATTACCTATAAGCGGATGTTTTTACTTGGATTGCAATTTGCTGGTATGGTCCGGTCTGGTCTAATTTGGTATGGTCTGGTCTAATATGGTCTGATCTGGTCTGAGTTGGTCTGATCTGGTTTGGTTTCTTTGTATTTTTATAACTATCCAAGTCTTGTCTGGTCTGGTCTGATCTGGTCTGATCTGATCTAGTCTAGTCTGTCTGGTAGGAAACAAATTACAGACCAAGTAAAAACATCCTTATATGTAAAACCTCTAAAACACATTAAATCTTCACATAATAGACACATTGAGAGATTGAGACAACTACATGAATGAAATAAAAATAACACACATTATGAATTTAATTATGAAATAATTACATAAATATGGCCAAAATAAAGATGGTATACAAAAATATGAATAGTTACTAGAGTAGTAATGAAATCATAATAATTCATGTTCAAGTTTTGAACTTAAGTTACCATAACACTACGTTGTAGTAATGAATAGTCATATTTATGTAAATAAGTTTTATTTTAGTAATATTCTTGTAAAAAAAACCATTTATTATTAATCAATTCATGTTGTTCTATTTGTGGGGTGCACATAATAATATTTAAAAGTTATATTATACGTAGTATTGATCTAGGGAATAGTTTGGATCCTTGTCTTAATTTGCTCATTTATGATTTTTCCGTCGAATTTAAGAGAGGGACTATATCCGGTTGAATAACAATAGTCATCTATCAAAAATGATCAAAGTAAAAAGTATGAACTAGTTATGAAATTGATCTGGAAGGACAAAAGTTGGAATTTATTCCTAAATGAGTCTTTTTTGTAACCATTTTTTATCTTAAGAGTTAGATTTCTCATTTTTTTATTTTGTGTACTAATTTTTTTATTTTGTGTACTAATTTGTGTAATAATTAAAATAACTACGGTAGAAGAATGTTTCTCTTTAAATTTGATAGAGCTCTATTTAATTAACTCTCTTCATATAAAATTTTTTTAACAATAAAATATATTTTAGATATTAATATTCATAATTCTAGTGTTAATTACCAAAACAATGCTACAAACAGGTTCAGTTTTCTCCATTATAGAAAACGGGCCGGTGAGTAGAAAAAATCACACATCAAATAAGCACATAATATGGCATCTATTCACGAAATACGACATTAACTATTCATCGAAAAGGAGATAAAACAGGATTTTGTCACAAATTTGCAAATTTGTAATTGTAACAGTTTTGCCAATATAATTTGCAAATTGTAAACATATTGATATATCGTTCAATATGTTGGGAGAAAAAAACACCCAAGAATCCCAACAAATAAAATATACGCAAAAACCTTCCAGACTAGAACTAAATAGTACGAGAAAAGAACAAAAGAAAAAGTGAAAAACCTAAAGAAACGTTAAAGAATCAAGTAATAAGTAATATGAGACAAACCACACGATAAAACTATGCAAACATCGTTTTCCCTATTAAATAAGGGTGGGTTTGGAATTGCTTTTAGAAAAGCACTTCTCAGCTTTTGGCTTTAAAAAAGCACTAATTTTCCCAAACACTACAACTTTTATTTTTCTCGGCTTCCGCGTCAAAAGTGCTTTTACTTTTTCTATTACACAAAAAGCACTTATTTTACCAAACACTACCCACTTTTACTTTTTAAAATCACTTTTTTCTCAAACACTATCAACTTTTATTTAATCACTTTTCACCATTTCATTAAAAAAGCACTTTTTTAAAAGTAGAAGCTGTTGCAAACAGACCTTAAGGCTTTGTTTGCAACCACTTAAGAAAAGTGATTTTGGCTTTTTTTTAAGAAAAAAGCACTTATTTTACCAAACACTACCAACTTTTACTTTCTCGGCTACTGTGTAGAATCTACTTTTTACTTTTTCTATTACACAAAAAACACTTATTTTACCAAACACTACCAACTTTTACTACTAATCACTTTTTATCAAAAAGTGTTTTTATTTAAGCACAAGTGGTTGCAAACAAAGCCTAAGAACGAATTGCTAATAATGATAAGAATGACCTTACGAGTGTGATTATGTTTGAACACCACCCTTAAAGCACCATTAAGTATTGAAGTCGAAACAACCTTTGTGAAGATATTAATTTCACACTCAAACAACACAATTTTAATTTCCATATTTATCTATACAAGCTCATCAATATTATATTTATCAATATGTGAAGAAATCCTTGAAATCTTCGAGTGTATTTCTAATCTTACGTACCCTACTTATGGGGTCAATACATAACTTGGAAACATTAGAAACTAACACCCACATATGTAGATCAAGCATTCCAAGATTCTAATACCTTACATCTTGAATCTAATTTATAACACACATATTCAAATCATATCTGAAGTATTTTATGTCGCGTTTGGATGAGCATTTATAATAAATGATCCATTTATAGAATAGTGAATGATCTATTAATTTTATATATAAAAAATGACAAAAAGAAACTGGAACGGTTTTGTTATAGAAAAATTTTACAAAATTAAAGGGCAACAATTTTAAAGTGTGGAAAACCCATTTAAAAAAAACGCTGCCAATCACTCTTTAGGAACGCTATTTTAGTGAGGTATTTTAAAAATACAAAAAATTATATACTTCAGTAGCACTTTAAAAAAATGTAGTCTATGATAGCATTAAGCAACAATTTTATGGGTTTGAAAAAATTTGGTGTTGCCATTGCCATAAAATGTTGTAGTGTCTGTTGAGATGTTTAATCACATGATGGAGTGTGGGTTGGACGTAGATGGAAAATTTTGTTCATTGATATTAACAAGAATGTGTGAGAAAAAGGGGCTTGATGGGTTTGAAGTTGTGGGTTTCCTGAAAGAGACAAAGAAGTTGGGGTTTAGCCCAAAAAGACTAGACTTTTATTGTGTAATAAGGTTTCTGGCTTTAAAGGGTAAAGCAAAAGAAGCTGCAAATGTATTAAAGATGATGCACATTGATGAAATAATACCAGATATCGGATGCTATAATTTGGTTTTGGAAGGGTTAGTATTGGAAGGGAAGTATGAGAAGGCAGATCAAGTGTTTGATGAATTACTTATTTTGGGTTTGGTCCCAACTATGTTTACCTTCAATTGCTATATCAAAGGTTTGTGTAGGCAAAATAAGGTGGAAGAGGCAATACAGATGGTTTCTTCCATGGAACAGGTAGGGTTCATGCCTGATTTGGTCACTTACAATATTGTCATAGAGACTTTGCGTGAGAATGGAATGTTATATGTGGCAAGGGAAGTTCTTGTGAAAATGAAACTCCTAGGTGTGCGCATGAACTATCAAATCTATGAGCTTAAAATTAATAATTTGGTTAAAAATGGCGAAGTTGGTTAAGATCATCAGTTGATACATACATGACATTTTGAACAAGGATTTTGGTCCTCAATCTAACATATTTATGGGGCTTATGCGTAATATACATCATGGGATTTTGAATGGCTGCAGTTTTTTAGATTCAGTTAATTATTTATATTTGAGGTATTGTGTTCATTTTTTACATTGAATGCTTTTGTTGGCCATAGTTGGACATGTAATACCAAATATTTTTGCTTATACAAGTATATCAGTAGAACGTTTGAGTTGGAGGTTGAATGTTTTAAAGCTTGATTCTTCAATGTTGGCCAGCAGAAGAATATGACATATTCCGCCCAGCTCGAACCGTCAGGAAACTGGAAACCCGAATAAAATCGGAAGCCAGCCGATTTGCAAAATTGCGTGTTAGGTAGAATTTGGTCCAAGGTGCATTTTGAGAAAGTTTAGGGTGCATTCCAACTTACCAATGTGTGTTTTTGATACCTCGAGCTCTCTAGTTTATATTATACCTATCTTACACAGATCAAGTAAAATATAATACTTACTAATACATGTTGTATGACTTGTATCTATTATTGTACTGCCCTATTATGTATATGACATTCAAATATAAGTTAAAATGTTCATAACTTTTTTTGTTATATTATAATAAGTGTAGTTTTTCATATTTATATTTGAACAAAGTTCTGTTATACAATTGAATATATACTATAGAAAGAAAATTAAATGTAAATATTTTATAGATGTACTAAATAAATATGGAGTATTAAATAATACGGAGTATTATTGATTCAAAGAGTCTAAAATTATATTTTAGAATATGATGAATATTTGAATATTAAATATTCAGATTTTTTTAAAAATATATATAATAATACGGATCGGAGTATATGTTTATTCATATAAATTGTATATAAAGTTGACTGTGCTTTTGGGTGTTGACCTGGTTGGCCCGCCAGGTCCGGATTCACCTGATGGGTTCAGGTTAATCTGTGACTCGATCATTCATCCGGGTCACTTTTCCGTCCGGTTTTTACAACATAGAATTGAATATATGTATGGTGAAACATCCCACTTTTGTAAGGATGCATGGTGAAGGGTCCCACTTTTACATGCCTAATTATTTCCATGTACCAACACAACGGTAATTCATTCTCTAACATGCATGAACTAGGGATGGACCGGGACCGGGGTGGGCCGGGCTCCGGGCTTGGCGGGCTACGGGTCCAAAATATTCAGGCCCGATAATGGCCCGGGTTAAATTAGTGCGTACCGGGACCGGGCTCGGTCGGGCTCCATTTTTTTTTGGGTCTTTTCGAATTAATTCCAACCTCCCACCCCCACCCCCAAACCGCCCAGCCCCACCCATCTAGCAGCCAGCCCAATGCAAAAAAAAATTAAAAAAAAAAATAATTGGGCCTAGACCAGGCCGGGCCGGTCCACCTTTTATGAAGCCCGTAGCCCGCCTTTTAACCCCTCGGTTCGGGCCTCAGTCCTGGTTCACTGGGCCGGGTCACGTGTCGGGCCGACCCGTCTCAGTCCATCCCTAACATGAAGTATTACTTATTATTATTAGTATTTTGTACCAAGAGATACCTAAACTAGAATTCCAGAATTATGCATGTGTTTCAAATATTCAAATTAAAGGGATGGGATGTTTAGTTTTTACCAATACATGCAATGGTGGCAGTCTAGACAACAAAAGTTTGAATTATTAATTATATGACTCACTCTTTTATCTATTCTTTATTCCAAAAAGTTAAGTGAAAAAGTATGATTGACTTGGTTTTTTTTTCACTCCAGGGGTCTGAGGAGGGGGGCTGGGGGAGCCTGGAGTAATCAGGGCTGAAACTCACTCCATTGAGTTTCAAACTCTTGGGCCTTGTGTGCCTAGCGGGATTCGGACTCGAGACCTCCCACCAGGCACAGTAACCTCGTAACCAGCTTGGCTGGAGTGCTTGGTTAAGTCTCATTGACTTGGTATACCAACTAGTTTAGTTAAAAGTTGGAGTAAATGGGTACGTAAATAACCATCCCTGCTAATAACCATCTTAATCACTTTTGTTTTTCCTACACCTCATACTTTTCAACCATGACATTTTGAACAATGAGTTTAGTTTTATTAGAATTTAGCTATACCATTGCTAATAAATGTTCATCCTTTCTTTGACATCATGGATTGAAGTTATGCCTTGATTAATTTCCTTAATTTATTTTTTTAAAGCAAAAAAGTATTACTTGTAATCTTGTATATATATCATGGAAGAGTTAACATTATCATTACAAAGATCATAAACCACACAAAACGTAACAGAGAGTATACGGCTTTGTTTGCAAACCATTAAAAAAACACTTCCCAATTTTTGGCTTAAAAAACACTTATTTTACCAAACACTATTAATTTTTCCTTTTCTCGGCTTTCGTGTAGAATCTACTTTTTACTTTTTCTATCACACAAAAAGCACTTATTTTACCAAACACTACCAACTTTTACTACTAATCACTTTTTCCAAAAAAGTGCTTTTTTTAGACACAAGCACTTGCAAACTATGTAGCACCGATACCGGTACGCGGAAATGGGATACGTCAAAACCAAAAAAAGTAGGATACGGATACGGGGCCATATTTATAAATATTAAAAGTTATGGGGGTGTATTTACAAATATTAAAAGTTATAGGGGTGTATTTACAAATATTAAAAATAGATTTTTTTTGAATATATATATACATACATATGATATCCTATGATGTCTACCCATTTCTCATATACACTAGTGTAATAAATTCATAATATTTCTCATATACACTAGTGTATCTCGAAATATATATGTAGTCAATAAGTCATTAATTTAAAATGAGAAATAAGTCAAACAGCTACAATCTTGAAATTAAAAGTGCAAGTACCCAATTCGGAGTATGAGTTAATGACTTAATTCGGATATAGCCATATAGGCCCATTATTTGATTACCAAGTAAAATGTAGTTTTAGATTTTCATTTTTTTTAGAATTTTATTAAGTAAATTTTGGGATTTTTTTTTTAAAAAAAGTTGATACGGGTATTCGTCAGGATACGAGTATCGGAAACTTTCAAAGAATTACAAAAAAAAAATGGAAACTTTTAAAAATTGCAGATACGGCCCGGGAACGTACGGTACGGGTATCCTAGAGTATCGGATACGGGAACGTATCGGATACGCCGATACGCTACCCTAGGGAAGTATCCATGCTTCATAGCTTGCAAACAAAGCCTACATATATTATTTACCGGAGAGATGATGGGGGCTTGAGGCTGATCTGAAAATTCGGATGATGCATGGCAGTGATCATAAGATAGAGTGTTCTTGCTGGAGAAGCAGAGCACGTGATAAACAAACTCATATAATATCATATATACTACTATAACTCATATCTAATGGAGCCAATTCCAAAAGCCCAACTATAATAAGCAATCAAAATAAGAATTTAAATAGTCTGTATATGACAGACAAGGGCAGATCGTTGTAGAGACCCAGGGGAGCTACCGTCGCCCCAACAATTTTTTTTAGTGTAGATATATACGAAAAATAATTTCCGCCCTCCCGAAAAATATTTTATTTAAATTACTACCCTCCCAAGATGAATTTCCTGGATCCTCCCCTCATGACAGAACCTTGGTTCTTAAGTTGCGTGAGTTAGTCAAGCACGTACCCTGCTTCTCCATCATGATCACTCACCTTGTTATTAGGAGCTGCTACGTATAATTTTGAAGAGAAGTAATGGATTTGTATTTTGTGTTGAGATACAATTTGTCTAAATTAGCTCCTATTTATAAGCAATAAGCAAGGGGCAACATGCTTAAACGGGGGATACACCGGTCCCACACTCCTCACCAATGTATGTACATATATATTCCATATCTAAGTCACTATAGTGACTCTTGCACTAAAGACTAAAGATCAAATAACAAAAGTAAAGTAGGTTTATGCACAATAAAAAAATAACGAGACCGATGACAAGAATTTGGCACGGATTAATTGATGATTTCGTGCCAATGCAAATAGCTCATGACAATTGTTTTTGACACGAATTTAGCGTATCCGTATCAAATCCCTGCCAATCCCGTGATTTTTTAGTAGAGATAGTTGAGACGATTTTTATGAACAATAGTTGAGATGATTTTCAAAATTAAAAGAATAAACTTCAACCACAAATTCTTTCTCATAAAAAGAAAAAGCTTCTTATATAATGGGTGAAGTAGGTTGTGGTGGAAGTGGTTGAATCTGCTGAAATTTATGATATTGTGGCTGAACTGGTTGAATTGAATGAATATATTGAATTATGAACAAACTTAAAAAATATTTTACTTATATAATTAAGAAAAAGTTACATGAAATATAGCTAAAATGGTTCTCTACAATAACTTTAGCCAATTCGACAAAAAAAGTAGCTATGACCTTATTCTGATTATTACACAATTCAACGTGTGAAGTAAAAAAAGTACTATGTGTTTCATCAAAAAGTTGGCTTATAAGATTGATAAGCTGAAAATAGGGGTTACCGAATGGTCTATACAAAGGGAAAGTTGGAAAATTCCAATGAGATGGCATTAAAGGAGTATAATAATAAAAATATTTAAGGTTAAAGTTACTTTTTATCTGAATTGACGGAAGTTATTGTGGATGGTCATTTTAGCTATTTTAATAAATAACAGGAGGTTTATTTAACTAAAATAGTACCATGCAAATGGCAAATATAAAATCTTCATAATTTAATTAGAAGATTCGGTCAATTAAGCCAATTTAGTCATAATTTCAGTGGATTAAGCCCATATCAGTGTGTTACCCAAACAGACTCTCAATCTAACATCTTGTCTACGTTGCAAATTAAAATTTAAACGAAATGTGAACTTCTGGAATAAAATTTTGATAGTGTGAACCTGAAACAAAGGTAATACTCCCGGACCGCATTGAAATCAAACTGAAACATACTAGTATATAATAAATCGAAATGGAACTGAAAGTGAAAGATGCTAAACCATAACTTAAGTAGAGACGTTGTAGTAGAGCTCTTGAATATTTCTGATTATCAATTTATTTATTCTCTTTTGGAGGGCGAACATAACCCCCTATTTTTAAATATTTGAAAGTAAGTACATATATATGTGTGTGTGTTTTTCTTGACAGAGTGTGTGTATTCTTATATACTCCCTCCGTCCCGCTATTAACTTCTTGCTTTCCTTTTTGGGTCGTCCCAAAATAATCTTCTCATTTCCCTAAATGGAAAGTTATCCTACATCAAAACAGTGTCAAACAGTGTCTAAACAGTGTCAAACAGTGTCTAAACAGTAAAGTCAAATTTATTTCCTAAATATGTGTGTAGGTCAAAGTAGAAAGTTAATAGCAGGACGGAGGGGGCCGGGTACTAAAGAAATGATCCAAGGAATAATTTTTCATATATACTCCGTAGTTAAAGTTGAAGGGTATATATGTTCTCCCTAAATGGCAGGTTTAACCAAAATAACACTACATTCTAAGCTGGATTAAAGCAAAGCTACGTACTCCCTCCGTCCCGTAAAGATGTTCCCGGTTTGACCTACACACATATTTAGGAAATAAATTTGACTTTACTGTTTAGACACTGTTTGACACTGTTTAGACACTGTTTGGCACTGTTTAGACACTGTTTGGCACTGTTTTGCACTGTTTGACACTGTTTTGATGTAAGATAACTTTCCATTTAGGGAAAGGGGAACTTCTTTTTGGGACATCCAAAAAGGAAAGCGGGAACATCTTTGGGGGACGGAGGGAGTATATGCTAGGGATCATTTTTCACAAAATAGCACTACATTTTAGACTGGATTAAAGAAAGGCTACATATATGCTAAGATCATTTTTCATGTTCAACTCCCATTATGTCAAAAAGTATACATCAATATCACGGTGTCGCATATTTTATTTCATCTATTCCACTGCTCTTTTACACTCCAAATTACCATATAGGATTAGGCATATCTAATAGATCGAAGAAATTCAAGATCATTCAACGTATAGTTTCCACCATCCATTATTATATTGTTAAACGTAGAGTACGTTTATTTCATATAGTTCCAGCCAGTAATTATGAGACGCCGTCAATTTGTTACGCATATCATTATTATCGTTATCAAATAATACTATCCTGTGTTATATTACTAGGTTATGATTTATTAGTATCATATTGATGGCCATGAAGGAGCTAGAGAAATAAGAATTAAAGATATAATGGTTCGACCGAAAAAATAAAGTCTACATACAAATAATTAACATGTTCTTTATTTTTGTTGTAATAGAACTAATTAATTACTTCTTCCGTTCCCTTTTAATTGCAACAGTCAACATTTCACGTTTGTCAATGCACAAGTTTGACCATTAATATCTTTCATTCCTTATTGGTAAAAAATTTAAAACATTCATACTTTGAAAATTTAGAATGAGAAGAATTTAACAATATTTTAAAAAAATATATTTTATAATACATTAATAAATAAAATATAGTCAAAGTAGAATATATGAATAGTGCAAAAAGTCCAATGTTGCAATTAAAAGAGAACGGAGGTAGTATTATTAATCAAATCATGATTCGAGGAAGTCAAAATACAAGTGAGATAATTATAAAGCCAAATATAGCGATCAAAAATAGAATATTAATCAAATCAAACCAATCTTATTGATCCCGCATAGGGCTGGACTCGGTTCGGGCCGGGCCTAGACCCGGTTGGGCCTCCGGTCCTACAAAGGGGGGCCCGGAACCGGCCCGTCCTTCGCCCGGTTCCGGTTCGGGCCGGGTCACTCGCCGGGCCCCAGGCCTGGCCACCCGCTGGGTCGGGTCAGGCCTAGGTTATATTCTTTTTTTATCTTTTTAATACAACTTAAATATGAAATACATTTTTCAAAAAATACTAATACAATAAATTCTAAGTTGTAAGTTGTATGTTGTAAGTTTGTAACCAATTAATTAATTAATTAATTTGAGAAGTGCTACATATAAAAAAGAATGTATATTTATTTGAAATTTGAAATACAACTTTACAAATTACAATAGAGAATTGAAGGAAAAATTAAAACATGAAATACATTTTATAATAAACTCTAAAATACTAGCTAATCAATCGGAATCTCCAGCATAGGAGCCACCCTCGGTTGTCGATTCATCCATAAAGTCTTGGGAGGGGGTGATGCTAACTTCTTGACATCTACGTATGACCTTCAACTAATCGTGGTAGCATATAAGCGTCTCAAGAGACTCAGCGCTCAAACTCGTTCTAGATGCCGTTAGAACGTTGCCGGCCAAACTAAATTTTTGTTCCACGGCAACTGTTGAAACCGGCATTGATAGCACTTGCTTAGCCATCCGTGCCAAAATCGGGAACATTCTTTCTTTTGACTTCCACCATTTTAGAACGCCAAACTCCTCATTTTCGTCAATTCTACCTCATAATTTATATACAAAGAAATCTCATTAAGTGCGCTTTGTTCAGTACTGTGAGTTGTTTTAGGTTTTTTCATAAGATTGCCAAAAGCAGATTAAAAAAGTGATTTTCCTTTAGATGAAGATGTGTGTGTCGGGGGAGGGGGCACGTTACCATATTGTGCACGAAACTCATTAAATAAGGCATAAAATAAATTACTAACCTCGTTGTATTCAACTTGCGGATCTATGGCGTTATCATCATACATTGGAAATGGACCAAAAAAAGCATTATAATAGAACTTCAAACATTCTCCAAATTACCAAGTCTATAACGAGGATCGAGAATAAATGCAATACTATAAATATGCGGAATATGTGCATAATATTTTAAAAACTTTTCCTTTATAAAGCCACAAAAATAACTCACGTAAGCGGCATTCTCAAATTCATTTAAAGCACCGACGAGATTAACAACTTCACGAATAAATTCGTTTGAGGTAGGTTTATAAACATGACTAAAACTATCAGTTGCATTATTAAAATATATCAAAACATTACAAATTTTTTCGCAAGTGTCGATGTGAGCGGGGTTTAAAATATAGTTATCATATTGTCTTAAAAAAGCAGGAAAAGGTTCTTTATATCTAAGAAGAACTTTAATTAATTTATAAGTATTATTCCACCGAATAGACAAATCTTTAGGGAAAACAACATATTTCACACCTCTTTCAATCAAATAATTTTGCCATTTTAATTTAACGGCCTGTTTGGATTGAGTGTTAGGGAGTGTTAGTAATGGAAGTGTTAAGGGGTGTTTGTTTTAACACTTGTTTGGCAGTTTTTTTTAAAAAATTGGAGTGTTAGTAAGTGTTAGGAGAAACCTCCCTAACACCTCAATGAGTGACTTTTTTAACACTCTATTGTCGTTCTCCCTCCACCCTGCGTTCAGGTTTTCACCAACCGAGGTCTTCTTCTGATATAGCCTTAATAACTGAGCTAATGTCTTGTTGTTCAAATCAGCCTTCGTTCATGAATTTGTAGCTACAGAGATGAATTTGATGATGAGCTAATGTTCTTCTTGTTCAATTTACGTGACGTCTTCCTCTTTGACTCACTCCTACCTAAATAGCAGTTAAAATATTGAAGGAAAATTGGAGCTTTCGTTGTTCTTCTTCCTTCATTTGGGAGTCATCGCTAGCTGCTGCACTTTTTTCCCTCCACAACAAAGGCTAGAATATTATGAGAGGGAAATAGGGATCGATCCAGTCATTGGTTTCTGTGATAGTAATCACCCCTTGAGTTTGGGTGTTTGAGAACCTTTATTTATATGAGGTAAATGATTACAAGAATGATTATAATAATGGAAACATATCCTACTAATAACTAACCTACCATTTACAAAGTATATTTTACCATATTTATATTAATACATATCATACAAATTATATGTCATCACCCCCCCCGCAAGCGAATCGTGGGATGAAGGCAAACACGGAGCTTGGAGCGAAAGGAGGTAAATAAAGAACGAGAAAGACCCTTGGTAAAGATGTCCGCAATTTGGAGAGTGGTAGGAACATACTGAACACGCAACTTATTAAGAGAAACCAGCTCACGTATGAAATGGTAGTCAATGTCAATATGTTTTGCACGTTTGTGAGCTACTGGATTCTGTGATAAGAAGATAGCACTTTTGTTATCACAAAGGAGCAAAGGCGGAGTGTGTAACGGTACGTGCAAATCACGGAGGAGATTCATGAGCCAAACCACCTCTGAAGCAGTATTAGCCAAGGCACGATATTCAGATTCACAACTAGAACGAGAAACTGTAGGTTGCTTTTTTGCACTCCAAGAGATAAGATTGTCCCCAAGAAAAATTGCATAACCGTAGGTAGACCTGCGCGTTTCAAGACAACGGGCCCAATCAGCATCAGAATAACCATGAATGATGGGTGCGGAAGCAAAACGGGTAAAGTTAAGACCATAATGGATCGTTCCCCTAACATATCGCAAGATACGTTTAACGGCCTGAAAATGCTCAATAGTAGGAGCATGAAGATATTGACTGACTGAATTGACAGCATAAGATAAGTCCGGTCGAGTAATCGTGAGATACTGCAGTGCCCCTACAATAGAGCGGTAAAAGGAGGGATCAGAATAAGGCTTGCCAGAGACGCTGTGTAATTGAGAGCTAGGCTCCCAGGGTGTGGAAACGGGATTGGCATGCAACATAAGAGCACGGTCCAGAATATCACGGGCATATTTTGCTTGGCCAAGAAATAAACCATCAGGCGTATGAGTGACTTCAAGACCCAAGAAATAGCTAAGATTGCCAAGATCTTTAATAGAGAATTCATTATCAGTGCGGTTAATAAACCGATGAATCACATCAGACCGATTACCAGTGATGAGTATGTCGTCTACGTACACTAAGAGATATAGTAAAATGGGCCCTTGAGAAAAGGTGAAGAGGGAAGTGTCAGCCTTACTGCATAAGAACCCGAGAGAAAGGAGATAATCACTGAATCGCTTAAACCAAGCACGTGGTGCTTGTTTAAGACCATATAAAGCTTTCCGTAGCAGACATACATGATCAGGAAACCGAGGATCAATATAGCCAGGCGGTTGTTCCATATAAACAGGTTGATCAAGAACACCATTAAGGAACGCATTTTTTACATCAAGCTGATGAATGGCCCACCCATGATGGACTGCAAGAGCCAGAACAGTACGGACAGTGGCAGCTTTAACAACGGGGCTAAAGGTATGTGTGTAGTCAAAACCGGGTAGCTGGGTATACCCTTGAGCAACCAAACGAGCTTTTAGCCGTTCGATAGAACCATTGGCTAAATATTTAGTACGATAAACCCATTTGGAACCCACAACATTGACACCCGATGGACGAGGAACAAGCTGCCAGGTAGAGTTGGATTGGAGGGCACGAAGTTCCTCCTCCATGGCAGCCACCCAACCAGGGTGTTTCATAGCGGATTTGTAACCTTTTGGTTCAGATTGGGAAACTAAAGCAGCAATTAAGCCAGTGGGTGTAAAATCTGGGAACTGTTTGGGCTTATAGACACCAGCTTGAGACCGAGTACGCATACTATGGCCAGTGGGGGCAGGAGGAGGCATGGTTGTATTGGAAGAAGGGATTTCTGATCCTGGAGTAGTGGGTGCTGCTGAGGAAGTAAGAGAAGTAACCGCATCAGTGGTAGAAGAACAAAGGCGACATGGCAATGGTGGCGGTGTACTGGTAACGGATGGTATGAGATCAATATTGGAGGAAGAGGAGGATGTCGATGCAGTAGCCGAATGTGCATCCAAAAAAGAAGATATATCCAGGGAGGAAATAGCAGTAGGTGCACCCAAGGACTGCTGAAAAGGGAAAAATGATTCATCAAATCGGGCATGCCAAGAGATGTAGACACGGCCAGAATTATTATCATAGCATTTGAAACCCTTGTGATGGGTACTATAGCCGAGAAAGGTGCATGGAACTGAGCGAGGAGAAAACTTGTGTTCAGTATGGGGTCGTAAGCATGGATACACCCGGCACCCAAATGGATGAAAGGTAGAGTAATCTGGTATAGTCCCATAAACAAGTTCATAAGGAGTCACATTCTATAGAATAGAAGATGGCAGACGATTAATAATAAATACCGCAGTGGAGAAAGCTTCAACCCAGTAAGACAAAGGGACACCGGAATGAAAAAGCATAGCAAGCCCCGTTTCAGTAATGTGGCGGTGCTTTCGTTCTGCACGCCCGTTTTGAGCGGCAGTGGCTGGACAAGACATTTGGTGATGGATACCGCAATTGTGATAATGAGCTTTAATTTTTAGATTGGTGAACTCCGTACCACCATCGGTTTGAAACACGTGAAGCGAGAGTAGTCGTCTATAAAAATGGCATAATAGCGAAAGCCTTGCTCAGATAAAAGAGGGGCAGGACCCCATAAATCACAATGCACCAAATCCAACAAATGAGAAGCACGTTTATCATTAATAGGAAAAGGTAAACGAGCACTTTTAGCCATTTGACAGGAACAACAACTGACAGGCTTGGGTAAAACACAAGTCACACATAAGCGACCCAATTTATTTAATAACTTTATTGTATCAAAGGAAACATGACCGAGGCGAGAATGCCATAATTCAAAAGAAGCACTAATTTTGTGAGACCGCAAGACTCCCAAAAATGCGTTGTGAGTGTGATCCAGCACGTATAAGCCACCATTACGCCGACCCCGACCCACGATCTCCTTTGTGAACTTGTGCTGAGTAGTAAACACATCATCATCAAATAAAACAGTAACAGGTAAGTCATGAGTGAGTTTACTAATAGAGAGCAGATTTTTGGTAATATGAGGAACAACAAGAACATCGTTCAACACAAGATCACGTGAAAGAGATGAGGTGCCAATATGAGAAATTGACAGAGTAGCACCATTGCCAACAGACACATGATTATTACCAGTATAAGGAGCTGTATGATCCAGAGCAGACTTATCAGCAGTCATGTGTGAGGAAGCCCCGGAATCAACGTACCAATCAGAAGAGTCGGCTGAACTAAGGGAGACAGCATTGAAAGCTTCTGCTAAATTAGCACTAGGTGTAGAACTGGTACGCACAAATCTTTCTGGACAGTCATTTGCAAAATGGCCATCAATTTTGCAAATCTGACAGCGGGGCACATACGGGCGACGAGGGCAGCGTGAATTAGATGGAAAACGTGGCCCGGAAGAAGAAGTGTGTGGGTGAGAGGAATTTTGTTTTGGCTGACGAGAAGGGCGTTGACCACGAAATGGAGCAGGAGATGAGTGTGCAGCAAAAGCAACAGTGGAAGCTCCAGCAGGTTCCTCCAAGGACTTTTGAAAAAGAGCATGACTCTCTGCCTCAGAGATAACATCACGGAGAGCAGGCAACGGATCAAGTTTAAGTTGAGTGAGAGAAAAGCTGGTGAATGATGGCCCCAAACCACGACAAAACCAATGAATTTTATCAACCGACGAAACAGGAGAGCCAATTGCTGCAAGTTTATCACAGTAGATGTGAAATAGCTTGCCATAGTCGGTGACCGACCTGGAACCCCGACGAAGCTGCTGCAATTCATCCCGTAATTGAATTTCCCGGGATTTGGAAGAAAGGTTGAAAGCGGACGCAAGGGCTTTCCAGATCTTAGCAGAGGTGGTGCAGCCAAGGGTTTCAGCCATGGATTCTTCCATAAGAGAAGACAATAACAAAGACACCAATCGTTTGTCTTGAGTGTTCCAGGTAGCAAGGCGCTTGACTTCATCCGGAGTGGGAGAAACAGAGACAGTCGGTGAAGGGATTGAGCCATCGATATAACCGAAGAGGCCTTGAGATTCTAGCAGAGTAGCAACCTGATTTCGCCAAAGAAGGTAATTGGAGGAGGTCAATTTGATAGTGATCATATGGACTAGGGTAGTGAAAGGAAGAGTAGCGTCAGAGTCTGCCATAGAAACGAGAATGGCCGAGATTAGGGAAATTTTAGGCTGATACCATGTGATAGTAATCACCCCTTGAGTTTGGGTGTTTGAGAACCTTTATTTATATGAGGTAAATGATTACAAGAATGATTATAATAATGGAAACATATCCTACTAATAACTAACCTACCATTTACAAAGTATATTTTACCATATTTATATTAATACATATCATACAAATTATATGTCATCAGTTTCCAACTATTGAGGCCAGGATGGGCTTGATTAGGGGGCTTCCAATTTGTATTGCTTTTAGAGTTTAGATAAGGATATTATTGTCAATTTAATAGAAAACACTTCCATTATTAACACCTCATTTTTTTACTTTCCCAAACAAGGTAAGTTTATCCTTAACACTTACACTTCCTCACCCTTCCGACCTTTGCCGACACTTACCAACACTCCCATTACTAACACTTGTTAATACTCCATCCAAACAGGTCGTAACACTTCCATTACTAAGGTTGCAATTGCTTCAACTTTAAAAAAGTGATTTTTTAAAGTGATTTTGGGAAAAGTGATTAATAGTAAAAGTTGGTAGTGTTTAAGAAAAAAGTGATTCTGAAAAAGTAAAAGCTGGTAGTGTTTGGTAAAATAAGTACTTTTTGTGTAATAGAAAAAGTGAGAAGCAGTTTAAAGCACCATTCTACCTGCTTCAAGCTTTTAGCTTTTAAGTGATTAATTTAAGCAGAAACTGTCATTTGAAAACACTCTTTTCAGCTTTTTTTAAGCCAAAAGCTGAAAAGCGCTTTTTTAAGCAACCTCAAACACTCCCTAACACTTCCAAACACTCCATCCAAACAGGCCCTAAGTTGACCATTGCCCCAAATACGTCTAATCCCCCCCCCCCCCCCGACTACCTCCATAGCATCTCCTAACGCCTTTATACCGTCTTGCACACATAAATTTATAATATGGCATGCACATCGTTGATAAAAAAATCTACCCCTCAAAGTATTAGAACCACATAATTCACGCAATATAGGTATAACAACAGTATTATTAGTAGCATTATCAAAACCTATATCAAACACCTTATCAATCAAATTATACTCAGTTAAAATACGTTCTATCAAAATATAAATATGTTCAGCGGTGTGACGATCATTAAATTCACGAAACGCAAGAACACGTTTATGCAAATTCCAATCACTATCAATAAAATGTGCAGTCAGGCCCAAATAATGTAAATTATTATAAGTATCCTCCCAAATGTCCGAACAAATAGTAACACGGCCGTCAAAGTTTGCAAAAAAAATTTGTAACCTATCCTTTTCCGCACGATAAAGCCTTATAATTTCTTTCTTAACCGTTTTGCGACTATAACTTTTAAATTGAGGATTTAAACAAGTTTGTGCATAATCTTTAAAAGCAAGACTTTCAGAAAACAAATCAGGCAAATTTTCTTCAACAAGTAAGTTAGCCATACCAGTCAAATTTTGTGCATCAGTGTATGAGAAATTGCCAAAAGGTTGGTCATTTGCAAACCTCGATATTTGAGTTTGCTTCCCCTTCCCTTTGTCTATTTCCGCATACTCCACAGAGTGCGCGGACTTAAGATGCCTTTTGAGGCTCCCATATCCGCCAGAAGTTCCCAAGCTATACTCCTTGCAATGATCGCAACTTGCGTACCATTTATCGGTTTTTAGGTCTTTCCTCTTTGTAAAATTATTTTCTATAATAGGAGATTTATATTTCTTACCAACTTGGGATGGACCGCCCTCGTCCTCCAACTCTTGCTCATCATCCGGGGTGCCGTGAGTTCTGTCGCCCCCCTCGTCCTCCTCCGCATCGTCACCCTCGAGCTCCTCTTCATCAATGGACTCTGGGATGTTTTGTTGTTGGAAAGCGCGACCATCATTTTGCGCCAATAGTTGTTGTAGTTGCTCGTCGGACATCGCATCCCCATCTCGCCTTTGGTATCCGTCATCAAAATATTTTCGACTTTGAGAAGAAGACCCGGCCCGCCCTTTACCTTTGTCTTTGCGTAAACTAGGATGACTTGTCGCAATCTCCTTCCTTCAGTTGCGTTGGAGACTACCCACATCTACGGAATATCTGGCACGGTCCATCTTTAAAATGTAACAAATATTATATGATATCAAATGTTTTAATATGAGTACAATAGTAATAATAAAATGTGACTAATAAAATTAACTACTTTTATTAGTTTATACTTTAATGCAACAATTAACAAATTAAATAATAGGGAAATGAAAAATGTAACTATTAACTATTTTATACTTGAATGAAAAATGTAACAATTAACTAGTTTTATATTTTAATGAAAAATGTAACAATTAACTAGTTTTATACTTTAATGAAAAATGTAACAATTAACTAGTTTTATACTTGAATGAAAAATGTAACTATTAACTAGTTTTATACTTTAATGAAAAATGTAACAATTAACTAGTTTTATACTTTAATTAAAAATGTAACAATTAACTAGTTTTATACTTTAATGAAAAATGTAACAATTAACTAGTTTTATACTTTAATTAAAAATGTAACAATTAACTAGTTTTATACTTTAATGAAAAATGTAATAATTAACTAGCTTTATACTTTAATGACAAATGTAACAATTAACTAGTTTTATACTTTAATGAAAAATGTAAAAATTAACTAATACGATGAATTTAATTACTATGAATTCAAGTGTAACTAATATAATTGTATAACTAATATATAATATAATGTTTATAGTATATAATATATAAGTATATTACTATAAGATGAGTAATACACTTATATATAATACTTTAATATATATAAGTAAATAACAATAAATATAGATAACAAAGTAAATATTAAAAAGATGGAGATGTATAAGTAGATAATAAGTATATATTAAGTACTCGTAGATAATAAATATTAGTAATATAATACAGGTATATAAGTAGATAATTAATGTATAAGTAGATAAAATAATTATATAAATAATATATATATGTAGAGAGGTTTGAAGAAGATGAAGATGGAGATGTATAAGTAGATAATAAGTAATTTAAGTATATATTAAGTAGATAATAAATATTAGTAATATAATATAGGTATATAAGTAGATAATTAATATATAAGTAGATATAATTATATAAATAATATATATATATATATATATATATATATGTAGAGAGGTTTGGAGAAGATGAAGATGGAGATGATTAAGATTTAAGAGTATGAGGGAATAGAGAATTAGAGAGTAGGAAGAGTTGGAGAAGAGGTGTAAAAAATGTATAGAAAATAGGAGTATAAATAGGTTTTTTTTTATCCCCACCCCCCCCCACCCCCCACAACCCCTGGACCCCCCTCCCACCCCCTCCAACGGCTATAGAGCCGTTTGGGAGGTCTCCCAACGGCTAGATGCCCCCAAATAATTTTAAAACAAAAAAAAAAATAAAAAATAAAAAGAGCCGTTAGGCCCGAACCTAGCCCGGCCCGGCCGGGCCGGTTCGCCATTTGAAGGGCCCGGGACCGAACCGCTGGACTACCGGGCCGGGTCGACCCGACCCCCCCCCCCCCGACCGTTTCCCGGGCCGGGCCGCCCGGCCCGAGTCCAGGCCTAAATTCCCGCACCTTTAATTATCCGTGAATCTTCTATTCCTAATCAACAAATGCTTCAAAATTTCAGAAGTTTGCGGAATTGTTGGGCCTGAATTTTGGCGAGCTATTCTTTAATTGTCAAGAAGATAATACAATCCAACGATATGCACTAGACTATATGCACAGCCTGTGCCCAAAGACCCAATAGGCCAATATGTACGTTTAGACCATGGGGTTTACAATCTTTATTATACCTATCGTAATCACATACATGATACATCCAGTGGCGGATCCAGATAAACGGCTCAGGGGTTGAAAATCAACTATGTACAAAATGAAAATGGTAGATTGGTAGATGTCCGAGTTGAATGTTTTATTTGTAGTTTAGATAAATAGGCACTCGTAGCAATAAGATAGATTGTCTTTGCTCGGTTTTTGAATCATGTCAGATCACATAAGTAATGAGTTAATTAAACGTTATTTTCAAAATTTGGGAAAAGAATTGATACTACATATCAAATTTTGCTAATTTTACGTTTAGATAGTGCTGATTTTCAGAAATCATAATTTTTTACTCGTAATGAGTTACGGGGGTTATAATATATCAAATCAAATATATTTCAGAGCTCTATACTCTTAAAACTTTCAGCGGGGTTGACTGACCACTCTGACCCCTTGGCTCCGGCCCCTGATACACCTGACAAAAACGTCACGTCTAAATGCGCTGATTAGGATTTAAAAAAACTGCCATATATTGACTTAATTATATATCTAGATTGATATCGTTTGCTAATTTAGTTTTTACACAATTTGTATATGCTTTGTTTTTATGGAGAGGCATGTGATTAATTAGGCAAATTTAAATAAAAAAGACTCACTGTTTTATATATATATGTGTGTGTATACGCTGTAAAAACATTCAATTATTATCTTCTGGCTAAGCCACTAGTCAAATTGAGGTATAATATGATTATGATCCATCTGTGTGGTAATGATATATTATTACATTGAGTGATTGACAATACTTAAAAGAACCAGACAATTTTAATCACTATGACTTATAATTAGGCAATATAATTATGATTACAAATAAATTAAAGCAAGGCCACTTGTTCTTTATGATGCATGAAACAGTTAATTTATTAAATTAATTAATTAATTAATGACTTAAATGCAAAAGAATTATGGTGTGAAAAGTTATCTCGCGGGCACAATCAAGACACTCTTTGGTACGTAGAGTATACATATAATTCTAACTTTCATTTATTGACATTATTTTCTTGTGTTATTTAAGAAACAATAGTACGTTTTAAAACTCTATTTTTAATTTTTTAATAGACAAAAATATGTCACACTTTTAATTTATTTCGGAAGGTAACTCTCTCTTGCACATCACCTGCAACTGTGTAACACAAAGTTTTCGATAGTCATAAGCGTTTTTAGTGAAGTTCTACTTTCCGACTTCTGTCACCACAAC